CGCGCCAGCCCCAGCGCCAGCCCCGCCACCAGGCCCCAGAAGGCGCCCTGCAAAGCAAAGGGGAAAACGTCCTCCCCGGCCTGGGCAGCAGCGGCTGCTTCGGCCTCCCGGGGGGTCCTTGGTGGCACTGGCACCCTTGGGTGCTCCAGCTGCCGCCCACACGGGCAGGTCCCCTGGCTCCGCGGCGCTGCCTACCTGCTCGGTGGCTCGCGGCCAGAAGACGGCGAGGACGAAGACGGCGGTGACGGGGGGCGCCAGGCAGCTGGTGACGGCCTGGATGTAGACGTAGAGCTGGCCGCCGCTGGAGCTCTGCAGGATGGGGATCCACACCACGCTGAGGGCCACCAGCGCCACCGTCACCGCCCTGCGAGAGGCGGCCGGACGCTGGAGCTGCCTCGCCGTGCCGCGTTGCCAGCGCGCATGGAGCGCGCAYGGAGCGTCACCGGCATCGCTGGAGGCCACCCCGGCGCTGCAGCCCACACGGTCACACCGGGGGTGYGCCGGGACACCCCACTTGCCACCCGCATCCACCAGCGCCCTGCAGGGTGGCAAGCATGGGATGGCAACTGGCACGTCCCTGGGCACTTAGGAAAACCTTACCTCTAAGGCAGAGCCTAATGTGGCCACCAACGCAGAGCGAGGCTCACGGGGTGATGCTCCCATCGCCGCCACAGCCAGCTGCTCCTGTGGCCCTGCGATCCCCCCTCCAGCAAGAGCTGTGTCCCCATACGTGGATAAAGAGCCCGTGGCCACCAGTCCAGACACATGGACACGGGGTTTATCCATCCCCAAATGCCAGCTAGGAAGCCACTGGAATCAACTGGCAACTCCCTGCGGCATCTCCCCATCCTCACCCTGCAGCATCTCCCCATCTGCAGCAGGGCGCAGGGGCCCCTCGGCTCTTGAAGCCCCGTGGAGCCCTTGCTAGGAGCAGGAAATGCAAAAGGGGCCGTGCRGGGACATCTGCACGTTTGGGGCCGGGCGGTCAGCGCTGCAGTGTCTATAGCTCAGCCCGGCTCGTTCACAGCTCCACAGAGTTACCTAAACCACCATCTGCTCCTCGCAGAAAGCAGAAGTGCAAAAGCACCGAAAAACCCCAGCAGTAACAGCAACAGMAAGGAAAAACAGCAAAGCTGCTCCAAGCGCTCAGAGCCTCCTTGYTGCTGCCTGTCTGGTGCGAGGCAAAGGGGAAACAGCCCGGGAAGGGTTTTCCGCACCTCCTCCGGGAGTCCCGTGGCTGATGTGCAGCTTGGCACAAGCTTTGGGGCCCCTTGGAAGCAGCGGCTGCTCCGGCTGCGGCCCAACCGAGGCGTTAACCAGCACCAGTTGCTGCAAATTGCCCCACGCGCTAATGAATTGCCCCACGTGCTAATGAATTGCCCCACGCGCTAATGAATTGCCCACGACAGATTGCAGCAGCGCCTCCCGCCCCGAGCAGGCAAAGGCCTCTGCAAACACTCATTAGCTGCTCCCACGACCGCGCTGTGGGGTTATTTGTCCCAATTTGACGCGCACGGAGCCGAGGCGGCGCCCTGGCCGCCCGCTGCCCGCACCAGGTCCCGCTCCCGCTCCCTCCGGGCTGTTTGCAGCTGCGGAGCGAAGGAGGCCAAGGCAGCCCAAGCCACTGACCCGGAGAAACCTCCACGAGGTGCAAAACCAGCCCGGCCAAACCCTGACCCAGATTCCCTGCTGCTCCTCTGCCAGCCGCCGCTGAGGCTCTTTTCCACCCGCAAGCCGGGCAGGGGCCGAGCTGATCCCGGGAAGATTCCCAATCTGGGAAGAGCAGCTGCCATTTCCTGGGAAGTGTATATAAAGCAGCCACAGGGCAGGTTCTGCACTGGCCTCGGGAGGACAGATTGGCCCTGTGATGCCAAGTGCACCGAAAGCCCCAGCCTCATTTCCAGCACTTTTGTGCCTGGAATAATCCAAGGATTTGTTCCCTTTTCCCGTGGCGTTTTCCAGCCCGGCTCCCGAGCGGATCCCAGCATCTCCCCGGGCGGTACCTGCCCACCAAGAGCAGCTCTCGCTCGCCGGCCGCCGGCCTCAGCCGCCTCCAGATGTCCATGGTGAAGAGGGTGCTGCTGCTGTTGAACACGGAGGTGAGGGACGACATGAGAGCTGCCATCATCACGGCCACCATCAGCCCTCGCAGCCCTGCGGAGGAGAGGGGCCGTGAACGGGGAGCGCCCGCTCCCCGGCACCGCCGCGTCCTCCCCGMGGGCACCTACCGCTGGGCATCAGCTCCACCACGAGCTTGGGGTAGGCGATGTTGGAGCAGCCCACGGCGGCGCCGCACACCCGCTCGCACTCCTGGGGGTCCACACAGGCCACGGCATCTGGGGCGACACGAGGGCTGAGCCGGACCTGGAGCAACCCCTGGACGCGGAGCTGCCTCCGYCCTGCCCGGCTCAGGGTGACGGCAGAGATTGGGGGTGTCCTATGGGTGCAGGGGGTGCCCCTGCTGTGCCCGGAGCTGGGGGRCTTTGCCCAGGACCCAGTTTGGGGCACCCACTTGCAGAGCTGCTCCCTGGGTGCGGGAGCACTCGCTGCAAGGCACGGGGCAGCTCTCCACCAACGCCCCATTACGTGGGTGTCCCAGTGGGTGCTGAGCCCTCTTTTATTGTCACGCTCATAAAATATTGAAATGGGAGGCAGTTAATGGCAGGCGTAAATATTAATGGCCTGGCCGGCTTGCAAAGCTGCATCCTCGCCCACAGCAGCGCAGGGCCCAGCTCCAGCTGCCCGGCCTGGACCCGGCGATGTTGGGAGCAAAGCCACCGTCACCAATCCACACCCCGGCTTCCCTCTCCGAATGGGAAYGCTGGGAGAGGCTCCATGCAAACGCCAGGAGAGCTGCAGGTGAAAGATGCTCCGGAGGGCAAAGCTGGGC